AAATTACGGCGAGGTTCCGCTAAATCTGCGAGCACTTATGATGTTTACGCCCAAACCTTTAGATGTAAATTTTGGACTTGACTCTATGAAAGCGATATCTGTAGTTCTTCTCAGCGAGCTGAGCGCTAACGCTCATGATGACCTGGTACCTAATGATCACTACTCCTACCCGCAAGAATTCGTTGCCTCATCACTCGAGCATTTTTTTTTTTGAAAAAAAGTTAATGCTGCCATTAAGAGCTCACGCTCGTATTGAGTTCTCTTATTTACAGCTATTCTGGTAGATGGTGGACTCTGGTAGGTTATAGTTTTGATTCTCTAGTTATTCCGGAAGTAATGTGAAGATGTCTCTTTTTTCATAACAGATGTTGGTAAGAGTATTGGTGAAATCGTTTATGTTCAGAATGCTGCCTGGTTTTGGTTTCCCTTTACTAAACGTAAATCCCGGACTAGTTGCTGGTCAACAATTATTGCTCAATGCGAATGCATTACAGCGAGGTGAGCCTTTCTTGGAATTTTTTCTTTGCACTCAGAGATTGTTAAGTCTGATTATTTTAATTGATCGATGTATTTTTAGTGATGGTCTCTACACCGAGTACATTCATAGGTGATTTTCCAGTGATGGTGTCAACACCTAATACTCAGTATGTAAGTGTTCCACTACCGAATGCCGCTCCTCATAGCGGTCGCCCAACACCCATGCTAGTACCGCCTGGAATGGCCGGCGAAGATGGAAGTAGCGAGAGTCCACAAGCGCAATCAGCACCGCCAGCTACACAAGTAAGAGGATTTTTGTTTTGATATACAAACTCTAAACTGTACACTGCAGTTTTGAATTTCGTTTTGATTAATTATTGATTAGCTAGCCATTCTGAGAGAAGGTGAATAATCTTGTTTTAAAAGAAGTAGTTGAAGTCTATTTAAAGGAGTGCCCATGGACAAAACATGATACTGCTGATGGTCGAGTGTATTACTACAATAAAATTACGAAGGAATCGTCATGGAACAAACCTGATGAGTTGAAAACTCCGCAAGAACGCCAGGCGGTATGAACTAATTGAGATTTGCCCTTTTCATCTATTTGCCTACCAGTCTTCGTTCGTTCACAATTCACTGATGCAAGTTGTAATTAAGCGTTCAACCCCAACCGCAACTTCTACGAATGGCATATGGAAAGAGTACAAAACCACGGAAGGTCGTCCCTACTATTACAACACGGTCACAAAAGAGACAACATGGACCAAACCCGAAGGGTTCAGCACCCCCGTCGCTGCTGCGGCGCCAACCACTTCAACCGAGGGTAAGGCGCTTTCAAATAGCTACAAATCTTCATGGCCATTCCCTGATTGCGAATAAACTGTCATGAAATGGACCCAATGAAAATCACACTTTGGTAAAATGAAACCAATGGAAATTCTGGCAATTTTCATCGCTTTTAGTCTGATTTCCAACAAGTAAATTAGCTTTTTCGGGATACGCCCGTACTTTCATGTTCTTTTTCATAGCCTTCCACAGATCATGCATAAAAGCTTCCGTGAAACTCATCCCATTCAGCTGATGCTACTACAACACAAGAGGTGAAAGTAGAAAAGGCAGCTACAGCGGAAGAAACGAAAGAGGAAAGTGAAATGGAGAAGGCTATGAAGGCAACCCTCGCTTCAATGACAGTGCCTTTACCTGCTGCAGCTCCGGTGGAGACTGTCGAGCCATTGGTACTTTTAACGATTTCCTAGTTTCATTGATCCTATTTTCTCCTTTACAACGCTTCTCTGCAGGTGGAAGCGCCAGCAGAGGACAACGAGCAGGATCTGAAAAAACGCCAGGCTGAAAGATTCAGAGATCTTCTCAGGGACAAATACAATGAAGGTGGGAGGGATTATTAGCAATTCGAGATAGCAAATAAACACTACAACAACGAATGGGTGATCTAGTTCATCTTCTCCAGATGTAAAAAGAAGGATACAAAGGCTAGATTGTGCGCATTTTCAAGATTGTGCTCATCTCGCCCAGGTACATGGGAAGATGGGTGACCTGTAAAATTTGAGTCTTTCCTCCCGAAGCACTCGTAAAGGAGAAAACAGTATGGTCTTAGGTGTTTGGTTTTGAGTATTATCAAGCAAAATCTATCCGCGGCGTGCAGATTTTTTATGTTATTTGATCATAGCTGGCCCTGTATTTAAATTTTTAGTGGGATCTTTACAGTTGCTCGCGTGGCACTCTACTTTGAACAGTTAGGAAGTTGCAGAAAAATCAATGTGTAATTTCATGTTTCGAAATGTTTGTATTTTACTTCAGGCAAAATTACGTCGACATGTAACTGGGAACATGCGGTTAAGCATATTCAAGGCGATCCTCGTTTTCGTATCCTGACTAAGGTATAAGTAGTTATAGTCCTCACCATCAGTAGCTTTTCTAAGATGTACTCTTTAGGTGTCAGAAAAGAAACAGCTGTTCAATGCATGGAAAGTGCAACGTCAAAAGGAGGAACGGGTAAGGCAATTCACAATGTGGTGGTTTTCTTCCATCTCATTTTAGATTGTTCAGGACGAAAAACGGTTAGCGATAAAGAAAGCAAAGGAAGATTTGGAGAAGTGGCTACAAGATCACCCCAAGATGAAGCCAGGGTTGAAATATATGAGAGCTCGTGAAATCTTCGGCAAAGAAGCGGTCTGGCAAGCTGTTCATGAAGATGATCGACAGGATATTTTCCGGGAGGCTCTCGTGAGTCTCTCATTTATAATTTTCCCGTTTGTGGCGCTTAGGAGGGAAAAAATCTTGAAGGCATTAAGAGGTGACGATGCTCTTTTTCTGCTGCGCACCGAACATTATCATTTTTAGGCATACGTGACAAAGAGAGATGCGGACATTAATCGCGAGACGAGGAAACGTAACATCAAGGCGTTGGCGGAAATTTTGGAAAGTATGGACCAAATCACGTACAAAACGACGTGGGCCCAAGCGCAACGACTTCTCATAGAGAACCCACAATTCGCAGACGATACTACGTTGCAAAGTACTGTTATTTTTCTATCGCTGTGCTCAATGACTTTGATTTCCTGGTGTTTCGATGAGTTATATCCACGATCTATCAGAATCATACAAGGTATATATTTACAGGCATGGACAAAGAAGATGCTTTAATCGTATTCGAGGAACATATTCGCCAAGCTGAGAAGGAGCACATGGAGATAAAAGAGGCAGAGGTTGGTCTATTTTTGAGGTCAGAGGTTTCCAAGGCTTGCTCATGAGGGACCTGCAATAGAAAAACCGTTGTCTTGTAGCCTGACCGAGCTTTTTTGTATCAACTCATTTCGAAACCTACGAAAAAAGTGTGAATATNCTAACGAAAGATCATAGTCTTTGTGCTTCAAGACAGTCTCGGATGTTTGTCAAGTCGGCGTGGTTTGAGAGTAAACCAATAAATTTGGCATTTGTTGCGAAAATATAGTTTTTTACTTCTAATCGGAAGTGCTTGAGTTCTTCAATTTGTGTAGTATCATATTATAGGAGCGACGGATCAAGCGACAGGAGCGCAAAGTAAGGGAAGATTTTCAGAAGTTTTTACAAGAGCTCCATAAGAAAGGTTAGCGATTTCTGAGCAACTGAGCTTGAGTGCTATTGCTCAAAAGAGGCTTAACGACATCTGGGTATTTCAGGGGAACTAACCTCAATGTCACTGTGGTCATCGCTTTACCCAGTGATTTCGTCTGACCCACGTTTTGACGCTATGCTAACTCAAGACGGTAAGCTACATTGTGGTTAATTCTATCCTAGGCTTTGCTAAAAGGGTCGTAGGGTTAGTGACTGCTGTTATAGCTATGTCTTCAATGTGATAAATTATTACAGGTTCGACTCCTCTCGATTTATTCAAATTCTATGTTGAGGAATTGAAGGAACAGTATGGTCAGGATCGACGAGTTATTAAGGACATCCTCAGCGATCAAAAAAAAGTGGTTCAGGTGGGTCACTCAGAAAAAAAGTACTCTCAGTTAAATTACTTGGAGGATTGATTTCGATTATAGGTTGACACAACATTTGAAGAGTTTTCTAAGTGGGTAACATCGGCCGAGAAGGGTCTGATGGTAGATCACGGCAATATGAAGCTTTGTTATAATTCACTTGTTGAAAAGGTGAGATAGTTTAACTTCTTTTGTATAATATGTAATGAAAGTCATTATAGGCTGAGTCCAAAGAACGTGAGGCGGAGCGTGAAGAAGCACGAAAGAAGCGTCGTCAGGAAAGCGAGTTCCGGCACCTGCTACGTGCTCAACAGCCGGCTATAGATGCGAACTCGGAGTGGGCCACTGTTCGTGGGAAAATTGAGAAGGAAAAGGCGTTCCTGGTGGTAAGAAATGACCTTTTCTGAGTATTTTTCGTGCAGGGACTGAACGAATTACTTCATTATCGTATCAGACTACTAACTTGGTCTTTGAATCAAACTTATCTCTTTACAGATTGATTCCGAGGAACTCCGTACGAAGTACTTTGAGGACTACAAACGGTCTTTGAGCGAGTCCTGCGCACACCATTCGGTTTCTAAAAAGAAGAAAAAAGACAAAAAGAAAAAAGGACGACGAAGCGATGTATGCTCACTTTTCTACTCATTTGGCTAGGAAAACAGTTTGTAGTTTCAGAAGGAATCTGAGAGCGATAGCGAGCCTAAAGAGAAGAAGAAGCGTAAGAAGCACTCAAGAGAGGAGAGAGATAGTGATGACGAGAAAGGTAAGTTTTAATTCTAACGAAGATCATTAGAAAGGCTTGCAGATGTACTGAAAGATGCTGTCAAGTTGGATGTGTTCAGATCGATCACGCAAATCTCGAAAGTCACGCAAGCGATCGCGATCTCGTTCTTCTTCAAGAAGTGACGACGACAGAAAGAGAAGGGTGAGAGACTCGCTAGGTCCTTTCAAAAGTAAACAACATTGTTTTGCCTGCGCGTATTAGGTCAGTGTGCTGTTGCCACTCTTGGTCTACAATAGAAGAAGTTCCGAATTCATACTGACTGTTTTGAGTAAATGACTCCAGTATGGAGATTGCCTAAGCAGTAAAAGTTATCTAAGCCAGTGAAAACTACGAGCTGAATCACTACTGAGATTATGATCATGCTCTCGCATGCCAAAGTTCTTTGTTATCTTAGATATTTCGTTAAATAAAAGGTGAGCTGCTAGAATGATGTTATCACCGTAGTAATTGCAGTAACTTACAGGAAGCCTCGGATTCGGATTAGATCGACGGCATGGCTCATCGAACACCATACGTTCTGAAGAACTCAGCGTTACATGGTATTGTAAGTAGTAGATCTCACATTGTGTTGTTTTTATCCTATATCAATGTTTTGTTCTTTCCTTGCGGTCATTGGAATAAAGTTGTAGCTGTTGTTGTTTAGAGGCATTGTAGAGTTGTGAGATTTTCGCAATTTAATATTTTCAATTGCACAACAAATATAGGTATTTTTGGACTCATTTTATTCCTTGTTTGCAGATGTCCAAGGCATCGAAAACTGGTTCGTTGGAACCAAAAAAGGTACAGCTTATTAATTTCTATTTGTACAGATTGTTAATTGCTACTCTATTTACTGAATTATAGTTAACGTAGTGAAGGAAATTTAAATGTGAAGAAAAAACCGTGTCCCTAGCTCAACGTGCAAGGTTTATTTAGGGACTGTATTTACTGATATATCAGCCTATTCAGTTTCAACCCTTCTGGATGCTCTTTAGATTTACGCTTTAGTAGGAATAACTTTCTTTTTACATCTATTTGTTTGTACCCATTATCACATCATTACCCCTGAACTGCTCTGTGGGCATTGGGGTATCTGGGCTCGCCGTAATTAAGAGGAAAGCTGTTGATATAGCTGCGTTGAATATCTACCAGTTTAGTGGAGTCGTGATTGCCTCCTTTTCTGGAAGGCTTCTGTGAGGTCCGAGATTGCTAAATGTCAACTGCTTCAATGTCTATGGGTTTAGTTCGAATATTGAACGCATGAATTATTTATTCAGAGCAGGTGTAGTGCACTGTCAACAGGCACACTTACCTGTCACCCACATGGTGCGAGGATGGATTTCGGGTCTATACCCACTCAGGCCAGGCCTGCCAAACCTTCAATTCTCGTGATTGCTCACTCGTTTCCAGCCATCTGGTTAATTTGAAGTAGTGAGTTGCGCATCAACTGACTTCTGAAAGTCCTTGCTGAACCACATTTTAATTCAAACGCCCTTCGTTCTGACTGGAGGATGAAGGCTGCATCTCTGAACGGAATTCACCAACTGCGAGACTTCAATATTTATTCAAAAGGGAACTGGAGTTTCAAATTGCTAGTGGAGTGATCAACAAAAAACAAGAAAATATAGAGAATACTCCGGAAGTTTCACATTGGATCTTCTTGAAACCAGGGAATGTTCATAATGTTTTTCCTTGCTTTCCCGTACAGGTTTGTTATGATGAAACCGCTTTATTTGGTCGACGTTTCGGGCAAAAGGCCAAGTGCCCACACGCGCTAGAACAGTTGGAACAGCTCTCAGAAACTTGAACACCGTTATCCAAGGACATACTACTCCTCGCAAAGTCAGCTCACCTTGAAGCTGTGAAACGTACAGTAGTTCGTAAAATGTACACAACAGCTAAAAAAAAGTGGGCATAGGCGAGGTGGGACGCGAGGAGTCACGTAATCTAGCATGTGAGATTGCAAATTTGAATGGTTATAGGACACAAGGTCTAGCAGAGAAGGCTCACAAAATTGTTCATCGAGAAACCGTGAGAATATGATGCATCTTCCATTTATATTGAAGAAAGCCAGCGCAGAAATCCGACAGTGTAATGCACGAGGGGATATGGCTGATGATGTTGTCTTGGTGAACCTACCAGCGGATAATTTCGAACGTCATCTAATCCGCAACAGGCTTTACGATCGTGCATGTACCACGAACAAGTGCGTTATTCGTCCGTGTGGAAAAATGGAGGTTGCACACAGCGAGGGGCAGTGGACAACCTTTAGTGTTCAGCGTGTGGCAAAATCTACATAGGGCAAACGGTAAGGAAGTTGGGCATACATCTTAAAGACATCTAGCTGGTAGGAAGCGTGGAAGTCTTCTTACACCACTCGAGAGGCATCGACTAGGAAAGCATCAGGGCAACGGTTTTGACATCAAATGCAAAATCCTAGCCTACGAGAATGAGATCGGTGCTAGAAAGATATTGGAAGAGTTGTACGTTCGCGAGAGAAGTCCTAAGCTGAACAGTCGAAATCAATGCATTGCCATAACAAGTGGACTTTTACCATTCTTTCCTTTTTGTGGGTTTTGAGACCACCACTAATACTTATCTAACGACCGTCGAAGATGTTTCATTGGTCTGTGATGTTTACAAAATCGAGTGGGACGACAACCCTGGTGAAAGGTGGGGGAGGTTGGTGTCTTGGCGGGAATCATTTGGTGTGCAAGTTTCTGGGAGCTGATGCAAAGGCCATAGCGCGTTTGGGTGTTTGGTCGGATAAGCTACAGATCAAAGCTTCACCAGGTTCTTGAAGAAGACGACTTGCTCGACAAGACGACCGCATAAAGCGATACCATCATAAAAAACCTGTATGGCAAAGCAGTGTGGAACATTCAGAATTTCCAAAAAAGCGTGCAGTTGTCGGGGTCATACATCTCCATCTCGAGGGAATCGGTGAATTGGAAATCCTATAGTTACGTTGTCAATTCACCACATTTGCATTTCCTGTACATTGACCAGGGATTCCCCTTCTGCAACTGTATTAAATAGGAAGTGATAGGAGTTGGCGTAACATGTAGGAAGCGCTGAGATCGCCGTTTCACATCCAGACCGACGTATAGAAACACAAGCGCTCTCTGAATTGTTAGTTTTTAATAACCCTTACAGTAAATTCCTTACAGTAAATTTTATGCTGACTTTCTTAGTTCGAAAACAGATTTTGCGCAGTCTTTCATAAAGCACTGCAAGTTTATGTGTATCATCACCCAGATGAGCGCTGAACTCTTCTCTCTCACTTATGGTGCGCTTGTCACTGAAATGCTCCAGGACTACGAAGATCCAAAACTGGTGAATTTGAGGTTGGATAAGGTACACAACTATACATATTTTCGTTTATTTATGACGGTCAGGGATCGTAACATTAGAATTCAGATTGGCTTCAACATGGGAACTAGATTAGCAGACGATTTTCTAGCTAAGAATGCGCATGTTCCAAAATGCACAGATTGTCGGCAGATTGCAGAAGTTCTATCGAAAAATGCTATACCCATGTATTTAGGTGAGCGAGCTTCTCTCCATGAAGTATTCATTTGGATGTCATTCCTATCATTTGTTCTTTAATGAAAAAATGCAGTTCAGGAGTCCCAGCTGCAGTGTCGAACTGGGGTGGGGGTGATCGAGAATTTTCTTTGATTATCGAAAATAATCCGTTGACGGAGCTAGTTGAAGTGCCGGCCACGTTGTCTGCTCTCAACTATTCTCAAGTCATTGCTGGAGCGATTCGTGGTGGGCTCGAAGCCCTACATTTCAAGGTAATCGTTTAAACTGGAAGCGTTTTCATTTTTTTGGTGAATACATAAGTAACCTTTATGTTGCTATTGAAGTCTAAAGGAAAAAAGACTGTGTTTTTAGAAAGTTTCGTTGGGGAACATAAGTAAAGTCACGGTTTTCTATTATCACTTCGCAGCCGATGATACTAGACTGTCTAGTGTCATTCCACTTTGGTACCATTCAGAATCCACTAGAGTCCAATATCAATCGAGCATTGCTCTACTTCCCTACTCCGTATAATGTTAGTAGGGATGTTGCTCGACAAAAAGAAATTGCTTTCGAATTTGTTTCTAGATTCCTTATAGATCGAATACCAGTTTTTTTGATTTTTGGAGTTTTTCATATTGATCGAATATCAGGACAAGCAGTAGAGGGGTTTGATTGAATTCAATTTTTTTTGTAATCGGGTTTATTAAGTAGAATTTTGACGCTTGTTGTTGTGCTGAAGGTGTTTGATCGGCAAACAGCATATAATTATCGTTTCTGTATACAACGATTTGCTATGAAGGGTTTCCTCATACCTCACCAATTAGAGAAGTTTGCGTTTGCGTTACCACTAAGTCTAGTATCATCGGCTGCGAAGTGATATAACCAATTTTTGACCGTTAGTCGATGAACAGTGCTCCAGTGAATGTGCTACTGTTAATCTTACCGTCAGACTTTCCATTTGGTACCGCACGTAGAGGTGCTGGCACGAAATAATTGTTCTCCAATCACTGATGATAAAGTTGTAAAAGCTTAATTAAGTACGTGCCTTTGCTCGGTCGTACATTAATAATCAAAAATTTTCTAGAAGGCTATCACCCTTGCTTCATATTCACTGTGTTCAATCAGAATTTTTTGGCTTTCAATTTTTTATGTCTCTGTTCTATGGGTGCAAATGTGCAGTGTGTGTATGTGTGTATGAATGTATGTGAATATATGTATGTGTATGTGCTTGTAAATGTGTATGTGTGATTAGTGTATGTGTGTTTGTGTGAATGTGTGTGTGTGGTATGTGTGAGGTCGTAAACTCATATCTTTTGTTTATAAAACCTATAGTGCCCAAATTTTTTATCAGTACAGGCAGCAGAAAGAAACCATTGGTGATGGGACGTGATAACAGCTGAACGTGGTTGATAACGAGCCATAGAGGGGTTGGGTCACCGAGTCAGTCACGAGAGAGAATGAAAGCAGCCGGTAGAGGATGATAAGCCGTCTCAAAGGGTAAGGTTCACTCGTACTAATCCACTCCGGTTCACGATGTAGCCCTCACAACTCAATAAGTTTCATACCAGAATACGGAACGGTAGAGCTGATTGAAGAATGGAAAATCTTATAATAAATCGNTTGAACCGGAAAAAATAGATCATAACTTCGTTCTGGGGCCCTCCTCAGCGTTTACTTATGTTATCACTTCTTATCAGAAATCATTGCATCCTTATACTTCTCACATAACGTGCTAGTGTGTTCAAGGCTCTACAATAGGAGGAAAGGCGTGATTCAGCGGCTATTAACTACGAACCCCATAAGCTTTTATCGCCTGCTAACCATGTTTTGCCACCCTCTTACATTCTAGTTCCGCTTTATATTAAATGTAAGGAAAAAGTGTGTCAAGGCTCTATTTAGGGCTGGCTATAAGGTCTGTGGGGTCACTTGGTTCGTAGAAAAACCGTGCAATTGATTAATGGTCCCGAACTATAGTCAGGATTTTGCTAGAATTCGCTAGTGCAGAATTCTCGAGTCTCATGTTCAACAAACGCTCAGCACACATTACAATTCCCAACTGACATGGCTCTTATTTTTGGAGAAAGAACTCCAGATCTTATAAACGCTTGTCCTTTGGTCACCATTTAGTACTTTCCCTCGTTTTCTAACACCAGATTTCTTCACTGAACTGCTAATGTACTACAGTCATTGTACAGTGTGATTTCTCGGACCTAAAGCGTGCTGTGGCTGGGTTCCTGAAGCACACGTTTCACTGTGATGGTGCCTGTTGAAGTAAAACGGAAAAGCAACTCCGATGATGACATAACTAATTATCGAGAATTATAAAATGACATTATGTAATCTTTCCAGGTGTTCGCCACAGCAATCGAAAACCCAACAAACACTGAAATCAAAATCAAGTTTGACCAAATTTTAAGAGACAACTTACCAGCTGGAGAGGAGGATTGAAGTTAAGTATATATATTGAGTTTTGAATGTTCATTACATTCCTTTTCATG